GTTAACTGCATGTGAAATGACTGCACAGGATCCTGTTAGAAAAGAGGAGAGAAAAGAAAGCATGGGTGACTAAACCAGTGTCCCTGATGTGACACATTAAGAAAACCCAATATAGTTTTGAATTATTTTGATGGGAAGGGCTGCAAAACAACTACTGTGCCAACAAGGAGACAGTACATGACCCTGTCTCAGAAATACACGTCTGTGTTTTTGCCATGCTCTCTATATTGGGTCTGTACAACTCTGAAGTGGAGCCACACAGTCGCACAAGTGCTCACACAGCTCTTTAGAGCAAAGGCATGTCTTGCTGTCTTCAGTGATGTCATACAGATGAGTAATATTAAGAGTCAGCATCAAGTGTCAAAGCTGGGCTTCCCATTGACCTCTTCTAAGCAGCTGCAAAATGTCACCCTTCAGATAGCCAGACCATTTCTCAGAGAAGAAGGTCTTCCCATCAGCTCAGGTACTCATTTGATCCTGTCCTAACACGTCTTGCCTGACCTTCTCTGATGAGTATAAGTTAAATGATACATTTGACTTTGCAGGTACGTTATCAGGATTCATTATTTAACATTTACACTTCTCTACGCATAATGCTGTGAGGCCATTTATTATCTTTCAGTCTTCCATTCATGTCAAGAGGAGAAATCAAACACAAAACCCCAGTTTCAGACCACCAGAAAGAAAACTATCCAGCCCAAATTTCCAGCAACTGTTTTCAATTTTATCTATCATGATTTCTAGCCAACAGACTTTCCCTCCCATGTTTCAGAAATGTTAGTAACCTACAACGTGAAGGAGAAGCACACCAGCAAGCTTTACCAAGTATGGTTCTGCTGGCAAATTGTTAGAGCTTTACTGTGCTTGCAGCACCCATTAATGCATATCTATCTTTGCAACTGCTATTTCCACATAGCACAGCATGAGAAAGAAAACAGCTCCTGCAAACACACACCTGGGGTTTGTATCCAGGTGTGAGTAGCTGGGGCTTTCTAACATGAGTCAGGTTAGGAGGAAGCCACACTTGGAGCACATAGATGAGGAGCAGTGTGGGAAGGTCTTACCAAAACTGCCTCTGTCACTTCAGGGCTGAAGGAAAAATTTCATTCTCCAAGAGCTGCCAATCTAGTACTTTTTTGCTAGTGATAATATTTTCTAAGTTTAAAAATAAACTTAGTGAAGTATGCTCTACCTAACAATGTATGTCTCTTCAGTCTCAAGGAAAAAAAATTAAGAAGAAAAAATGGACTGAATATCAAGCACTGCAAACGAGTATCAGGTATAACCAAATTATAGCTTAATATGTTTCAGGTATCCCATTTAGAGCTTTAGATCTTCTAAGGAAATAGGTTTTCCCCATTGAGAAATGTATATGCAGTGAAATTAAAGCTACTTTAGCCCCATGTGAACCAAAAGTAGGTTGGATATCTATTTTAAATAATCACTCAAATGTTAATTTTTCATGATGGAAGGAAGACCTGAGAGGAAAGGAACATTCTCTTCTTCTAACCCTTGTGTTCACCTCCAAACTACTGTCTTGGCTTCTCAAGCCTAGCGTGTAATACAGCACACGGTCAAATGTGTAAAACCCTGCTTTCATTGTTATTTGCCATCTTTAAAGACAGGGCAGGGCATCAGTGGACTGGAGAGCCTTCTCTGAATATCTGGGGCACCATCCAAGCGCCATATAGGATGAGAGGAAAATAAGATACCAGGGTGAGGGGGAGACTCCCAGCATATGTCCAAGCAGTGGCACCCAAACCTGTCTTCCATCTGATGTCCATCCTCCCTCTCCCTTTCCTCTCTTGGGAGGCAGGCCCTGCAGGAGCGCTAGCATCCTGGGTGCCTGTGGAGAAGGAGCTGGTTCCTGGCTACACGTGGGGCTCCTCCGACTCCCCCTACACCACCCGCCACAAACAAGAGGGAAAAAATTCCGCAGGCAAAGGAGGAAGGCAAGCGCTGCTGCTAAGTGGCTCATTGGTTTCTATGGCAACTGGCTCCGCTCTACTCCAGCTGCTTACCCCACAGTCCCTCTGTCACCCTATTTTTAGCTGAAAAATCAAAGAAAGAGGAAAAGTGGTGGAGGTTTGGGGAGGAGAGAGTTGGGAGACCTTCTTGGGGTTTACAGGGAGGAGGTTAATAGGGATGCAGCCATGTCTGGCTTTTAACCACAAGTTAAATCCTTGCTGTGGACACTCCTTATGGGATTCCTCAGACTTGTGCACAGTCAGGTCCCATATTTGCCAAGACCATGAAGCAGTGTGCAAGCAAGGCAACCACGCCATCCCCCTCTGAGTGTGCGAATCAGCTGAGCTGTCAAGTTGACCTTGGCGTTGAAATTGGAAAGAGCAAGAAGCCTTTTCTGTACTTGGGGGAAGAAACCCTCTCCCGTCCCACAACCCAACATAATGAAGTGATGTACGTCAGCACACCAACACCTTTTTAACTCTTTGGTCTGAAAGGTTTGTTGTTGTTTTTTTTTTTTTTTTTAATAAAGCTGTGTCTTGTATGATCTCTCTGAACTGCGTGGTACAAAAACAAAGGAAAAAAAAAAAGTCCTCACAACGAATGCAACATGTTTTGCTTAAATACCTCATCAACAGAAGACCCAGAACAAAATTTACCTGGACTGTATCAAGGCTGTAGTTCAGTTAACGGATTTTGGTATTGGAGACTGACTGTTGAGCTGCAATGTTATCTGCTGGTAAATCTAGAGCAAAGATATTATAGCCTGCAGTTTTAGTATGCACAGAAGTATGTGCTCACAGAAGCATGGGTCCCTTAGTCTCTTCTGAATGACTACCTGCTTTTCTGAAATGGATGTACCCAAACACTGAGAAACAGCTATTTCAACAGATATTTCTAACATCATTCCCCTCCTTCACCCCAGAAATTCTAGAAATTTTGCAATGAAATGTTGCAATTATCCCCAAAATAATAAACTTTAAACCAAGGCAGACTGATGCCATAAGCATCTATTCACTTTCTTCATTCCAACTGCCATGACATTTGATGCTTGCCTCCAAACTGTTCCTGCTAACAGGGTTGTGCAAGTCTACCTTTGTACCACTCATTTTCATTTGCTGCCATGAGAACAGATATTGATCTGTGTATCTGTGCTCACACAGCAAGGCTTCCTTCCCATCTTGGAGCTGTGATATTGTCGGACTAAGAGGACAAGAAAAAGATCAATGATTTCTAACAATCATCACTTTTAAGAGGAAATGCATTGGTAAAATGACTTACTAGTCCAAGTATCACATTTACAGTCTCTGCAATCAGTTCTATATCCTGGCAGGCATTGACACTCTTGCTGTAGATAAACACAGTGTATTGGATGAAAATTGTCCATTTTAAAAATGTTATTGGTTATGGCATGTGATGGCACAGACTGTACAGGGCTTAAGAGGAATCATACAAATGGAACAGGACACAGCCAACAGAGTCTAGCAGTGTCCACACCAAACAGCTTAAAGAGAGTCAGGGCACTGGGAGGGCTGGGAGCTCCCCAGCAAGATCCCACCATCCCATACAGGGAGCAGGCAGTCAGGGAGGCAGTTGGACATCCATCATGCAGTGGGACCCCCATGGTGCAGCAGGACCCAAGGCTGGTCAGGCCAGGGCTGTGGTAAACTGAAGAGTAGCCCTGCTTCAGTGTCACTGAAGGACTAATGGCACTTGGAGGGTGAACCGGGGTCCTGGGACCTGGGCAGGGTGGAAGGAGACCCAGGAGATGCTGGGCAGGGACAGTCAGGGCTGGCAGTTCCCTTGGAGCCCTGAAAAGAAGTTGTAGAAGGCTCAAGAAAAGAATTCCTAGGAATTTGGAAACTGGCTCACTCTGTAGAGCCACTTAGATTTTCCACCTCAATTTGTGGTCTCCAGATCATGCAGTGTCAACATGTCTGGTGATTTAATTACCACTGTGCGAAATAACTGAAAATTGCCAATTTTTCTCTGAATGTCCCTTCGCTAGTTTCTGGAGAGACACAAAGAAAAGGTATTTCTGACAGACCTCTTCTGATACATGTTACTTTAGACACTTTGAACAAGCCCCTTCTGACTAGATTTCGTTTTTTGAAACCACTACCAAGCCCATACAGGCAACCTTGTAAAACCCATTGTCAAAATCTGACCTCACAGGAAAAAACACATTCACCTTATAACTCTCCTGCATCCTGCATCTCCGCACAGTCTGGGGGACTGTCAGGATGAAATCCCACACAAGAAAGCAGGAAGAGGACTCAGAAACACAAATCTTCCTCTGAAAGCCCTGGAAGACAAGAGACCCCTTAGAAAAGGACAAGGATGGTAGGACAAGTACAGAATAGCCAAGCACACAGTCAGGCTTGCTCTGCAAGTAAACTTGTCTCTGGCCAGCCCAGAAGAGATGTAGTGGAGAAGAAATCCTTTGCAGTGAGGGGCATCGAAGTCATAAGCAGAGGTCACCTGAAGGAAAGTGGCAAGGCATGACTCCAAGGCAAGGAGGAAGAGAAAAAATACATTCCACTAAGCACACATGCACAGCCAGGATGGAAGGAAGCCTGTGCTGGTAGTAATGGATAACCTCATGCCATGATCAGTAAAAGAAAGGGAGAGTGACTTCTTTTAAAAGGGGCAGCCAAGGGTGGAAGAGAAAATAATCAAATGTGCATCCTCACTTGCCTCGGTGGGTTAAGTAGAGGAGTGGAAGCTCTGTGACTACCAGACAAGTGACTTTACTGAAGAACTGTGTCCCATTTGCAAAACTGGAGGCTTGACCTTCCTTGTAGAGCATTTTCATACCTGCATATGCAGATCACCAGCTCTAGGTGGCGATTCTGATCATTATCTATTCTGCTTTTTTAAAAAAGGAGTGTACAAGCACTTCCAGATGAAGTGTGATGCCATTTCATATTAATTTATGACAAGTAGTCACGTGCAGACTTGACATTTGTTTTCCATGTATAAGAAACTTGAGCCTTTGAATGTTTATGAGAAATGAGCACACATGCAAACAATGCTGACAGAAGATGATCTTCTTTAAAACCCATTTTCACTTTTTTTGCATTTCTCATTTGTCCTTATTCAGCACATTTAACCTGCAAATGTTATCCTCAAAAGGTCACTTGGAAGGAAACTTGGATTGTCAAATAAAGCTGAGGCACTGCAAAGATGGTACTTAGTAACTCACACAGAATGAGATTGATAGACATACAGGGAGAGAAATTTTAAAGAGGTCTGACCATAGTCTGAGGTCTGATAAGACAGTCCTCCACTCATCAGTGAGGACCCTCAGCTCTATCTCCACCATAAACTACAAGACCAAGTTAAAAAGAGGAAGTCATAAGAATTATCAAATGTAAACCAGCCCCATGAAACAGGTTCTTGTATCTGTACCTCCACACAGTCTATGTCAGCAAGGAGATACAAAACTCTTCAGTCTGGGTGATACAGCCTAAAATTCAGGACTGACTTATTCACTGAAGTGCCAGAGCTGTCAACAAACACATGTAGAGCAGCTGCAAGGCATCAAAGTCTATTTGTTCTGCAGACCTCTTGGATAAATCATTCCTGATAGCAGTCCTCAGAATGACTGAGCTACATTACTGGTGGGTCACCACTCCACCACCTCCTATCTCTCTAATGATCTCAAATCCTTTAGCCCCAGGGGGAAGCAAGATAAATCTAAAACACAGTCAGAGAGAAGGAGCCTCTCATGGAGAGAGAACTAAGTTCTTTGGAGAGTCCCATCCAGCAGTTCTTGCTCATGGAGATACTGAAAGGAAGAAAGGAGAAAGTCAGATGAACACCTTTTGTTCTTTCTTTGTAAGGACTGCTAAGCTACTTTGCATTACAGAGATGTTCCTTGTCAAGGGTAAGTCCATGGTCGATGAATCTCTCTTAGAAATATCATGCATGGGTACTTACCACCTACTGTGTTAGACCTTGTCTAAGCTTGAGCCCCTTAATATCAAGCAAGCAAGTATAGCATCTAGTCTGGCTGTTATGCTACTTGTGTGCTCTGGGTTCTGGTCACAGAAAAAAATAGAGAAACTAAATCTTGAGGCTCTTTGTTTCCTCATCAGTTGTTTTAATGAAGCAGAATAATTCCATCACTCTATACAGAGGGGACAGGCTTTCTATCCTGTCCTTTTGAGGTCTCTTTTGTTGTTCAGAATTTGCAGTGATGATCTTGAAAAGCTGGTATAGTTTACAACCAGGAGCTCCTCAGAAAGGAGATACATCAATGAGAATTACTTGCTTACACAGACCACTCTCCCCATCACCACATGCAAAAGGCCTGTAAGCTAATTTCCACTCTACCTTGTGTCCTCAGTCCATGTCGGTCTGGTGTTTGCAGTAAAGGAGTTCATTCAGGTTATTTGCATCCTTAAAATTCTAGCTACACCTTGGTATCCATTGACCCTGGTTGCCTTGGCTGTAAAGAGATGGCAGGGGCATTTCAGGATCTTGTGCCAGCAAAAGAAACAGCATTAGAATGAAACAAGGAGGAGGATGCTGTGCTAGACAAGACATCCAGGAAAGAAATTGTGCAGGATATTAGCAACACCCTGCAAGACAAGCAGACTTCTAGGTATTCTTTCAGATACTGACAGTGTCTAAAATATCACAGGATGATGATGCTGTGACTGCTTTTGTACTTCAGCATCTCCACCAGGAGACAACTCACAAGGTGTTTACATTGAAAAGCAGGAAACAGCTGTCTGGAAGTTAGGATTTCACAGCAGCAATAGTCCATAGGACTGATCTAACCAACAAACAGAAGTGTGCACCAGTGTTTGAAATACATAAGCAACTCTGGCTCACTCCTCAAAATAGCCTTCCAGTTGGATCAAGGAAGACTCAGTTCAGAGAAAAGATGGGGTTACATACAAGCTGCTTAGTTTGTCAGACACTAGACTTCTTTGAGGATATTGTCTCTGCTGCCCCATCCTGCATATGCATACCTTTTGCTTCTGAAGGCCTATGTTGATGGAACCTCAAGGACCTTTCTCTCTGGTGTACTACTTCAAGATACTTTTGCAGCAAATTACATGGCACCATTCAGCAAGAGATAAAGATCAGACAACCAGCTTGGGAGTGGGCTAGTAACATCATACTGCATGATTCCTAAAAAGAGCTCTAATAAGGGGGATAAGGGACTGCCATTACAGCAATCTGACAATTTAGTGTTGCTATGCAACTTGAGTTGCGAACAGACTTTTGCAATTGCTTCGTATTTGTCCACTGAATACTCAGTGACAGTGTCTGGCAACCTACCCCCTTCATCGCTTTACCTAAAGCAGCAAGAATTCATGTGCAGGTTTTGTGCCAAGGTGTCCCAGCATCCTGGGCAAACTGAGATGCAGAGTCTATAATATTTTGTCCAATTTCTATGAGATTCCTGTTGTGCCACACACACATAAACAGCTATGTACATTCACACACATTTCTCCTTTCCTCTGATTCATTGCACAACTTCCTCATTTTCTTCCTTTCCTACCCTAAGGTCATCATGTTGTCAAAGATGAGCACTGTCTTTGAAATCTTCTTCCTTGCCATGTGACACCTCTTGTCATGCTAGTTCATGCTCTTTCCTAACTTTCTACATGAAGTTCCTTCAGACCTTGCTATCTTTCTCCTGACTTTTCTCAGACTCATAGAAAGTGGGGATAGCTATGGCTATTTATCTTGTTTTGTTCACCTGTCCTAATACTGCCTTGTCCTGTCTTGAAACTGTGATTGGTTTTAAAATCCTCCAGCAATGATGCCTGCAGCCCTTTCCTTGGGACTCTTGACACTGACAAAACTCAGTGGTTAGGGAACCTGAGCTGCTTGTCTCCCTGGCTGAAATCTGACTACTCCTAGTGACATCTCTTTGTGCCACCCTCAAAAGCTCTCCCTTGCATGCTGGTATCATCAACTCAGTATCAAGGTGATTTCTATTCTGCACCGCTATTAACCACTACTCATTCCCTATTACCCTTTGTTATCACTTCCCAGACAACCCTTGCAGCCCTCACTTGATTTGCTGCTTTTCTCTGAATTCCTTTGCTTTCCACAATCCCTTTTGTGGTGTTGATTGTGTGATGTTTAATAGCCGCAGCTCAGAGTTGGCTGCATTTCAGTGGTAGGAGGGAACACAGTGAACTGTGAACTGAAACTCCATATAATGTTGCTAGAGATGAGAACAAGTAAAATCTTCAGAAAAACATCTTTGCAAATGTGTATCTGTGCAGGCATTGTGAAGATAGGGATTACGTTATGCAGAGAGGAAGAAGAGCTGACTGACAGTAGAGATTTGCAGTCCATATTGATGCTTCACAATTGTGCATCTGTCTGCAGAACAGCTATGAAGCTCCTGAAGTCATTGCACTAAAAAAAATATAAGGAAAGATAAATCAATAACTTCACTCACCCTTTTACCACAGCTCAGAGGGTGGAGGAGGAGAGTGTTATAACAGCTCACACTAGTGAGAAAATTTTAATTGAAACAGTCTTCAACCAGAAAATACTATTTTGATAAAATCAACATTTTTCACAAAATTGTAAGTACAAATGAAAAATCCCTATGGAAAAAGGTGGCTCAAACAAAATCTTCAGTATTGAAAAGTTTGCCTTAGAAAAAAGAAAGGGCAGATTTTTTTCAAATTAAAACACTAATTTTGAAAACAACCTCGTATTTTTATATCATATTCTGTTCTTGGTTGTTTTTTTTTTTACATTATCCAGTTAAAAACAAGAGACACTGATGTGTTCAATATCCTGCCATTAGTCTGGAATCGGGTTTCTAGGGTAATAAAAAAAATTTGTCCCTAACTAGTACCAAGCACATTTCTTCTTCAGAGTGTAAAAATTTCAATGGTTTCAGTCAGCACAGAATACTAAAGCTGGTACAAGTTTTGACAGAAAACTTGTTACTTCCTAAAAAGTCACTTGTTTTGAAAATAAATAAAAAAAATCACCTGTACTAAATTATATAACAGAATATTTAATTCTGATATTCATGGTATGCTATGTTAGTGGTAGGATTGCATAACATGCCCTCGTATGAGACTTGATTCAGTATAAGCTAACTCTGCATTACAACTGACATGTGAAACAGTACCAAAATTTAACTAATTTTCAAAAAAAACCATCAGCTATTTTACCAGAAGTACCTAATTGAAAGGTTCTTAATTTTCAGTTCTTAGGAAGACACTGAAAACAGTATTTTTATCACCAAGAGCAACAAGCAGCTTTGAAATCATAAACTTTGAGATTTCTCTCAAAATGAACATTTCAGGTTTCATCTGGCTCTCACTCAACCTGTGATTCATTCTTTGTACTAACTTTAAATCTCCCTATTTGGAACATCTTTAAGATTGGAGGCCTTATTGAAAGCAATCATCACAAATAGAGCATGCACTTCATCTTAGCTGGTTCTACCAGCATTTGTTGCTAGATAAATCAGTTCATCAGTACTCACTTTCATCTCAATTTTAATATTTTTATATGCATTCATGGGGATCTCAAAATTATCGCCATCAGGATAGATAAATGAGGATAAAATTAAATCAATCTTGCAACCCAACCACTCCCACGAACTAGGAAGGCTTCAATACTCCCACCGCAGCCCTGCTCACAAAATCCTGTTGCAGGTAGAACCTGGGGTGTAACAGATATTTCTCCTCCATTCCTTCGCTCATCTCATTCTGCACCTGCAAAGCTTAGACTTTCCTTTCCAGCATGTGAAAGCAGCAAGAAAAGAAAACGATCACGCACAAGTCTTCTGCTTTTTCTGCCTTCAGCAGCTGCGGTAAAACCGCAGCCCAAGGCTCCCACCTAGTGTCTGCTGGCAAGCTCGGCACACCACCCCGGCTAAAAATGTGGGATGCCAGTGGGTGCCCTGAAGCTTTACAGATAAGGGGCAAAGGCTTGGTTTGTTTTCGAGATGGGAATATTTTCTTATAATACAAAACCAAGTCTCGGCTAATTATGAACCACACAAGCCTCGTATGATGTCCCCTACAACTTAAACACTAAATTCTGATTTATGTGTGGAAAATAAGATTATCTTCCTTCTTATTTCTTTCTGTCATACAGACCATGCTAAAATGTTAGGAGGATGCAATACAAAAGAGGAGAAGCTTGTTGGATTAGGTAGGACTGCTCCCCCACGTCCAAGGATGTCTTCCTAACCTTTCTCTGCAGTACTGCCTTTGCTCCATGGTCAGCCTCCAAAAAAACTGACAGACTTTCTACACTTCAATCCCTACTAATTGAGAGACACTTAAAAATTAGGCTGGCTTCTACAAAAGATACAGGCACTTTGCTTTGGATTATTATTTCCTCAAGGGCAGCTGAAGCATGTTGATAGTTGTCAAAGCAGCAGGCTCACTGACACCCTCATATACTGGCCTGATAGGAAACTGTCCTCTGCTTTCTCTGGTAAGTCCAGATTTTAAAAATCTCTAGTGCAAGTGTTTCCATGATGAACAGCTGTTCATTCCCAGTTTTATAATGCCTCTCTTGATCTCTTTTCTTCAGCTACCTAGGAGCAAGACTCCTTGCCTGCAGTCCCCTGTGCTTTAATTTATGGAGGCTACAGTCTATGTTCTTCTTTCAAGACCTGTTATTAGTCATTTGGGCAAGTGGACGACTACATGTAGATCCACACATGCACCCATTCACAAGAAAACTCTGTTAAGACGAGCTCAGATATGGCCTCAGAGCTTTTTAGAATATGGAGTACACTTGGAAACTGGAGTCACTAAAAGCCATGAAAACTCTCCAAGTCATGAAACCTAACCCAGGTGCAACAGCATCTCACTACCCCACTTCTTTTGCCCACAAAAGCTCATTTGCCTTCAGCTTCCCAGATGCCTAATCTTTTGACATGTACATAAAATTCAGGATATGTTTTCTGGAGTTTAAAACCCATTCTGGCTGAAGCAGTCTTTTTGCAATGTAAAGATAAAAGGGAAAGGAGAAGCCACACATTGCCCCTTGGGAATGATAAAGGCATCGTGCATACAGACACTTCGGCATCCTGCCAGCGTAAGACCACCAGTCTCCTCTTTGTGAGCTCCACCACTCTACTGGTAGAAACTATAGGGTGAAGACAGTATATTTTATTGACGTCACTAGCCAGCATTACTTAGAACAGGGTTAAGCACAAATGCAAAAAGAACTGCCTCCAAGCTATTCTATTTATATTCCTACCAGAGCTACCATTGGTACAGTCATCCTGCCGCTGAAATCCTGACCCTGTTGTTGCCAGTGTAGCCACAGACCAGAGAAGTTCATTTTGGATCGTTTCAGAATTTGGCATGTCTTAGTATCAGCAAAAGCTGCACTGGCAGGGGGTGGAGTGTGCTATTTGCACAGGACCTGCGTCAGGATTGGCATTCAGTGAATAGCAAGACATATGAAAGCATTTTATCCCAATATAGAGAATAACGCATCTTCCTCTGCGTTGCTGGTGGTAACTTTGGCAGTCCAAGGAACAATGGTAATTGCCTGTTACTGTGGAAACAAGACCTCCAGAAATAACACTAATGAGCCAGCAGGGTCGTGGGAGAAACACAAGCATACTGTCTCCTGCAAACACACATGATTTGGCTGCACACAAGATGCACATGCCAGTCTGAGCCTGCAAACAGCTTAAGTGACCTGAAAAAAACTTCAGATAACTTTCAGAATCATTGCTCCCCCCACCGTACAGGGAAAATAAAAGAAGATGTAAATGTCAGTCACAGTGAAAAAAAAGAAGTGGGTGTACTCATATAACAGGGGTTTATTTACTGATAGCTCCTGTGGTAGGCCAGGAACTTCTCAAAAGCAAACAAACAGATAGGGTCACCACTTCACTAATTATTGCACTCCCTCAAA